TAATGTTAAGAATTATTTAAGCTAAAACTCGCATTTTACAAGATATAATTACATACCAATATAAAAAGGACAAGTGGTAATGACGTGAATTGTTTTTACTTCGCTTTCAGTCATATTTTAAGAGTTTCCATACAGTATTCAATGATAAAGTTGGAAATTAAATTCATAGTGATTTGTGGTAATTTTTAAATTTAAAGTAAAAATTAAAATTCGTTATGATTCAGTTCTGTCATATTGCTTGCACGCAGTCAGTAGCTGAATTCTCGTATAGTAATTTGCGCAACTCTTTCAATTACCATGAAAATATCTTTAAATACTTTAGTATTGGAATCTTAAGATTACACATTACGTTTCTTAAATATAGTCATTTTTTCTTGTTGTATCATAAGCTTGTTGTTCAATAAATCTATTCACTAAAATACAGTGTTATGCATTCATTAGTGCTAATTAGCAGTAAGAGCGTTAAWCCCGTGAAAAAGACGAAAATTGTTTTAGAATCAGTCAAATGGTGAGACTTCTATCCTCTAGGGTACAACAGGTGACGACGTTGACTCTTGTAATTTAACCCACATAATTAATCGTTACTTGAGGCGATATATTTAATAACTAATTGATAATAATAACTACATCGACTCGGTGATGTTTAACGATGCCACGCCTGGTGGTATAACAACATATTGTTGATAGTTCTCAACGTCTCTTATATCATAAAATGGCATCACCGGCTCACATTTATGGGTTCCCTCGTTCATGAACATTAATCTGTTGACGACAGCAAAGCAGCTTATATTTTACGAATGATACACAGCGTGTTCGCTACACAAGATATATACCTGCTTGTCGTTGCAATAATGCCATTGCCTGTGGCTGTTCGTAATCATGACGACGCTAATGCAACGGACTGAATACACAAATTKTGTTTATTTTGTCATTAAAAACAACGTAAACAACTACATAACCACCTTTTTTCAGTTTACCTCTCCTGCTTCGGCAGTAATTCCTGTCAATTTGATCGATTGAGGTGAGCGGGTCCGTCTGAAAGCGTTCAAAATAACATTACTATCAAAGAAAACACACATCACAACATAGAGAGAAAGAAAGCTTGAGGAAGTCCTCTCCTTGAATACTTACTTCAAGTACAATTTCATTATTTTTTGCATATTTTTTTCGTTTTTTCTTCATGACATATTCCGAAACTTATATGCGCCCAAGATATTCGGAGCAGCGGATTTATTGTTAAAAACGCGACCATAGACTGGATCGARTAATTGCACATGGCGGACGACTTTTTTGGTTATTTTCTGTTTTCGTCTTGTTTCTTATTAATTCTGCCTATGAAATTTTGCTCTTTATACTCTGAAAGTTTGTCAYAGTCTTGCTCGCACAGTATAATTTCCTCATCCTGCTATTGAAGTCAATCCAGATAGGAAAAMATGCCTAAAAGGCTGATAAACGAGGACCAAGGCAAGTCCCAAGATAAAGAGGTACGAAAATGCATTATAAACTTTTGAAATTGCTTGCATCTGATAAAAAAAAAACAATCGACAAATTCGCAAACCTAGTTACTTGTATTTTCATATACATATATGTTTAACTTATATTATCAGAAATCTCTTGACTTTTTTGGCGTCAAAGACAAAACAGCTGATGACAACAAAGATGAAGTTGAAGAAGATTCCTCCGACAGCGAAGAAAGTTATTATTCCGGTTTAGATGACGAGGAAGAATCCTCAGACGATGAYGAAGACACATCAGAAGAAGTAAGGGACTATTTCTACGCTTTCTGCCAACTCCAACTTGTTTTCAGATCTTCAAGCTCCATACATTTCCAGTTATTCAAATTCCATGTATTTCCAGTGCAGACAAATTTATAAGCGACGTACCATACTCAAATAATCTAAAAATAAGCCCAAATAATTGTAACAATAAATCATCAGGTACTAAGTTATATATGTGTTTTCAAAATCACCAATCAGATTTTCTTAATAATGAAAAAAGCCCATATTCCAATGAAAAACAAGACATCAATGTTCCTTACTGGTACTRAGGTTATCTTGAAGTCCACCCCAGGGGTGAGGTTGTGTCGCTGGAACCTGGTTGGCGGCATGTCCCCATATAACGAATATAGGGGAGTACCCCCTCCCGGGAAGTCCACCCTGGYATCCATACTTAAGATGCTATGTTAGATGCTATGGGTGGTGATTTTAGGTTGTTTATAGCCTTTCACATTGATGATCTTGGATCCTTGCATAAACTTATGGTCTAGTTTTGATTGAATTATATAGTCTATGGGACAAATCACTCAAACAATGTTAATGACTTCAGCAGATTGAGTACAATATTGTACAATGTATTGTTTCATATTAAATTACGATCTAACTGTMATTTTGTGTGTTTCTTTAGGAAGAGGATGAAAGAGATAATGAAATTGACAGTGATTGTGAAGTATCTGACGCAGAGGATCAACAAGACAAACAAAAACAAACAGAAAACAATAATATGGAAAAAGAGGTGGTGGCAAAAATAGATGATGGTGCTGACACTTCCGATGAAGAGGTACAATACTTGTATAGCAGTGGAATAATATCAAAATATTTAACAACAATGTAGGGTACTTTTTTAGTAGTCTTAACTAAAACAGTTTAAGAAAAATGACATTTAAAGTACCAATGATGCAACACAATTTTGAGATCTTATTTGYGCAGCCTTAACCTCAAAAGCATGTAATATATTCTTTTATTCAACAGAGATCCTACTGTAATGCAAACTCTGTTTACAAAGGAGACAATAAAAATGAAGAACTATTATTAGAAGCTATTCAGATTTTATTTGACAGACCCATGAGATGCACGCTATCCAATGAACTAATATGATACAAGCAAGTCTTGCTATTATTTTTGCACATTTTAGGATGCAAGAAACACAGTTGGTAATATTCCAATTGAATGGTATAATGACTACCCACACATTGGATACAACTTGGATGGGAAGAAAATCTTGAAACCTGCAACTGCCGATGAGGTGATTGATTTTGTATTATAAATACATTATATCAAATGCAAGAATAAAACAAATTGTATTAGGTTTGCCTTTTTGGTTGTGTCTGTAAAAGACTGATAAGCAGTTATAGATAGTTGACCTGAGAACTGAGAGATTTGGAAATTGTGTTAAACTTATGATGAATATGAACGTAGTTGTATGAAAGATGAATAGCGCTATCCACCAGTTGTATCTAGTTAAAATCCATACAAAATCTAATGAGTGCATATCTTTATTTGATGGATAACTTTATCGACCACCCTTTGAATATCTGGCCCCATGGTTTTATGTTTCCTCAGTGTTTTTTTATGTCTTTTTGGCTCTCAATTGTTTAAGAATTGATTTACTGATTTATCATGTTTCTGTSATTAACTACAGCTGGATGAATTCCTCTCCAAAATGGATGATCCAAACTACTGGTAGGATTAGAAATAATTACTGTAAACTGCATTATTAATTACTGTAAATCCTGTACAATATTTTATCGTAAACTTATGAAATAGGGTATACAAATTCTTATCAAAGTACAGTCTTACAGCAGAAATGATTGGAACTAGCGGTAAACTAGCGTGAGCTGTGTGGGTGTTTCTAAAGAAACAGTTGTGAAGATAAATTTTGATAGACAAGACKTGTAAAAAGTACATGTAGTCTATGAAATAACTGACTGATGTTTTTGAGCTCCACTTTTAACTGTAAGATTTATATTGTATTTCTTTTAGGAGAACTGTAAAAGATAAAACAACAATGAAAGAAGTAGTTCTCAGCAATGAAGAGCTGGACATCATTGAAAGAATACAAAACTCTCAGTTTCCTGAAGCAGGATATAATCCTTATGAGGTATGTACATATGTAATTCAATTGTAAAAATGGAAAAGGGTGAGATGAAACACTGAGGCAAGAAATGATGTTTTTATTCTTAACTGTTTGTCTCTCATTTTGTYTTTCAGCCTTATGTGGATTTCTTTACTGGAGAAAAGATGCTTCATCCTTTGACAAATGCACCTGAACCTAAATCCAGATTTATTCCCTCGAAATGGGAGCATAAAAGAGTGAGTAGTATGAAAAGATTATGGGTTGAGGCTAATGGTTGTGGCTAATCATGATATGAAGAAGGCTGAACATGATGTGAARAATTATTGGAGGATTCTGCATGTGACATTTTACACAGGATCAATTAAGGAATAGGATCCTGTACAAGATCCTGTTGCTTTACTGTATAAGATCTTATATAAGATCCTGTTAGAATCCTATAGGATCCCGTGTAAGATCCTATTCAAGATTCTACAGGATCCTACAAGATACTGTGTAAGATCCTATTCAAGATTCTTACACAGGATCCTGTAGGATCTTGAATAGGATCTTACATAGGATCCTGATGTAGGATCTTGAATACGATCTTAACACAGGATCATGACAGAAAAGAATTATTGGTTGAGGCTGAGTATGATATTATGTATAATGTTGATGCTGCACAAGTAGATGCTTATCAGTTTTTATTCAAAGGTCATGAAGATTGTTCGAGCCATCAGAAATGGTTGGATTAAACCAAAAAACACCAAGGATGATAAACCAAGATACTACTTATTATGGGATAACAATGAAGATGAGGTATATTGAGCATCAAATTCATCATTATATTGACAACATTATGGCAGCATTGTGCATGTAGTTCTTACAGATAGGACTTATTTGTTATTCAAATTAAACATTGAGACAAACAGTGTGATTATAATGTCAACAAGACAGTAGTGAGAGTTAAACTGTTTATTGATAATATTGTGCAAATTAGTACAAAGTCKTTTGTCTTCACTTCTAATTTGTACAATCATGGCTTTCATCGCATAGTAAATTCTCCAGCAAAACAACAGAAGAATTATTCTAGTTGCCATAACTTACAGAAACATGCATTTGTGCAGGGAATATAGAACACATGTATAATATGTCAGTCTATTGGATTGATATCAAGCTTTTCAAGGATGAACTTTGCTTCWAATGAGAAGAAATCTTTGAATAGCATGATGATGTTTGCTCCTTTACATTTAGGCAAGAAGGAGAAAAACTGTTCACATACCAGCTCCCAAGATGAAATTACCAGGTAAACAAACAACAACCTTTTTTGAAAGAGGTACTTCTGCAGAAATGATATGCGTAATGTAAAACCTTTGTGAATTGATAGTGGTGATTTATGAAGGCACTGGTGATTTTTGATGACCAGGATAAGGAAAATATTCATAGAACTTATAGGATAATATGTGGTGCAATCTTTTTAGGTCATGATGAATCATATAATCCACCACCAGAATATCTTCCCAATGAAGAAGAGGTAAGACCAATTGTACATTGTACTATGAATTGTAACTAATTGAAACTTTAAGATAGTATACCATGTATAACTCTCCTGCTACAAAATTTGAAGTTAATGAGAATTACAAGTGCTATCTTATTGCATTCTTGCTTGTGAAGGTTAAACTCTTTACCTGTAAACTATTTACATACATGTAGTCTCTTTCAGTTGTATTCAACATTTCAATTACTTTATTTTGTTTCAGATTGCAAAATGGGAAGAAATGGACCCAGAAGACAGGCCCAGGAACTTCATCCCCAAAAAGTATAGCCTGGTTTAGAGTTTACATTTTGTTTTAGGAATTGATACAAGCTGAATTYTGTTGACAATTGAAGCACATCACAACAGATAACAGTCTCTTGTAAATCTTTCTTTTTATAGATATTCCAATCTTCGCCTTGTGCCAGCYTACAATAAATTTATTCAAGAAAGATTCGAGAGRTGCCTTGACCTGTATCTWTGTCCAAGACAACGAAGAATGAGAGTAAGTTYTGTGYGTACAATGGTAATGAAACTGTTGTCTTGACACAGAATTTTTATTTTTACCTTTAGGTAAATGTTAATCCAGATGATTTATTGCCAAAGCTTCCAAGACCGAAAGATTTGCAACCATTCCCAACTACAGAATCTATAGTAAGTAGAACTGGTTTAAGACTTGGAATACTTGGTTATAATGGAGATTTTGAAGTGTTTTTTTTATAAGATGAAAAGGAGTGATATGATGATTCACTTATAGAATACATTTTAATGTTATTTATTATAGAATACATTTTAATGTGTAATATAACATTTTAATTAAATTAAATTACATGATTTTAATGTATTCTATAACTTATTTTTTTGTATTTCAAGCAAACATTAAAAGTGTTATAATTGTTAAAATCAAACTTAGTGGCTGCAGTGTGTGACTTTTAGTACTTTTAAACAATTAAAATTGTTTTATTATTGAGCTTAATGTTGAGTTTTCAAAACTATAATTTATTTGTTCATCCTAGAATGATAGGCAAAAAAATTACTAGGAGATCTTCCCAACAGTAGCTATATAGTAGTTACATGTAATATTTTGCACACAGTTACTGACCGGGATACACACCATTCGGTTTAGTGACAATAGTTTGGTCCCCGCTATTGTTTTTTCTTTTTAATTTCTACTGTTGGCAATAAAGCACTAATTTCTGTATGTATCTTAATGTATTATTTAAAATAAAAAAAATTATTAAAAAAAAAATAAATAAATAAATAAAAACTAATTTCTGTGGTCTCCTAAAAACTTGTTTTWAACAGGTATACACAGGTCATCAAGGAATGATACGATGTGTGTCAGTAGACCCTACAGGGCAATGGCTGGCATCAGGAAGTGATGATAAAACTCTTAAACTGTGGGAAGTATGTACTGGCAGATGCTTAAAGACAATACAAATGGATGATGC